CCCCCCGCGTGAACTGTCACACACTCACCTGTGTGGCGGGAAGGGGCCACTTCTCGGGGACTGAAAAAGGCACTGTGTCTTCAGCTCCTCACTGGCTCTCGCTAACCTGGCAGCCAGAGGGGCGCACGTTCCCCAGGGGGCAGGTCCCTTCATGAATAAGGACAGGGGAGCAGAGACAGGCTGGCGTCAGACCTGCTGCGTGTCCAGCCACCGTGTGCTACCCGGACGTGTTAAGTCCAGATGGAGGGCTCTGCGTGCCACAGCTAGCTTAGGCCAGATACACGGTAGGTGCTCAGGACCCAGGGTGCTGCTGCGTCTACGCAGTCAGCTGCATCGCTGCCTTCCATACTGTGAAGCTGCCTTGGAAAACACTGCCTGCCCAGGGGTGTTGAGGGCTGCTCAGTCCTCAGCGCAGACCTGGGCCTCGGGACCGTCATCCTGCTTTCCAGCTGAGACGGCTCAGGTCTGGGGAGAGGTGGGCCCTGCTGAGCCGCAGCCTCTCTGCCTGGCATCCGCCCCCTGCCCCCAACCCCCGCCCCTGGCAGCACCCCAAGCTCAGCACATGCCGCCCAGGCTGAGTAAACACTGCTGGCCGCGCTGGAATCAAAGCAAACAGGGTTCCTCTTCTTCCGCCGTTTTGCCAGCTGCCCCATTAACAGAAAAACCTTTTAAGCGCTCATCTGGAAACCTGGCAAACTGAGGTGACCAAGAGAGGCGTGCTCCAGGGTGGAGGCTGGCGTGCCCAGCCCGCTGCGCCCTGCTCCTCGGGCATGCAGCGAACACATGGAGATCAAGGGTGTCCCTCAGGCCAGCCCCTGGGCCCTCGCAGCAGCTCTGCCCCCCACCGTGTCCTGCAGTGTCCCAGAATAGCTCGTGTGCTGACTCCACGTTCGATCCTGACATCCTTGTTCTTTGGAACAGTTTACGCTTTCAGCCTGGACCACCTCTTAGGGGACGGAGGAAAGAGCCCTCGGCACCGAGCCCCACCCATGAGGGCACACTCGAGGATAAATACGTTCTTGGCTCTAAGAAAACTCGCCCTTCTGAGCAGCGCTGCTCAAACTCGCCCAGCTGTTGGTCTGCCCTCAACAAACATTGACTGAGGCCCTGTTATGTATCAGGCACTTTGGGGACTCAAAAGGTGAAACGACACAGCAGCTCCCATGCTGGTGAGGAGATAAGGCAGGAGTAGAAGTAATGAGCAAACACAACCGTATGTGGAAACTGCCACTAAAGCTCTGGGGCCACCAAAAGGGGGGGGTGTCCCTGGCCCCCCAGGGTCTGATCTCGTGCTCCAGCCTCGGAGTCTGCTGGGCAGGGGAGGGCAGGCTGGGCAGGTGGGGACACAGAGGGAAGAGGAAGGGGCGAAGGCACTGGGGTAGGGAGAGTGGGGTGACTTCCTTGGAAACCGAAAGGTTCATTCTGTGTATGTATGTATTTTCTTTAATTAAAGTATAGTTGATTTATAATATTGTGTTAGTTTCAGGTGTACAGCACTAGATCTATATAATATATATCTATATATCTATCTATCTATCTATCTATATATATATATATACTTTTCTTTTTCAGACTCTTTTCCCTCATAGGTTATTACAAAATATTGAGTATGGTTCCCTGTGCTCTACAGGAGGTCCTTGTTGGTTGTCTATTTTATATATAGTAGTGTGTATCTGTTAACCCTAACCTCCGAATTTATTCCTCCCCTCTGCATATTTTTTAATTTGTAAAAAATACTGCTAAGCACATGCAGATTTCTTCCTCTTGGATTTACACAGTCTCCTCGTCTCTTTACCTTGGGGAGAGGCCAAGTTTGGACCAGAAGCAGGTGTGGGTCATGTGGTCATTCAGCTTTGAGTAGAAAGAAATTTCTGAACTAAGAAATGTTGCCAGAGTCCTCACCTTGTTCTAAGTTTGGAAAGGTTCACCCGTTGTTAACATCTCCCCGCGTTTGCTTAACCTCTCTCTCCACGTATCACGTTGTTATTGTTGCCCGGTTGTTTTGGAGAAAGTTGCATGGTGACCCTGAATACCTGGCAATATCTCCTGAAAACAAGGATTTGCATTTGCATAGCCCCTGGGCTAAGATGGAGTTCAGAGATTGTAACGTGGCTACACTGTTATTATCCAATCTACACAGTCTGTATTCAAATGTCCACAATTGTCCCAGTCTTGTCCCTTACAGCAACTCCTCCTCTGGTCCAGGACCGGACCCAGAGTCACATGGGGCTCTTAGTCAGCACATGGCCGGTGAGGTCACCAGACAACGGACAGGAGAGGTCCTGCTGCTGACTCCGCGGGACAAAGTCCTTCTTCCCCACCTGTGGGTTTCCTTCCCAGTGTTCAGCTCAGGTCTTTGCTCTGTGGTTGAACTCCTGGGAGTACTAGAGGCTATCTTCCCCAGAAAGTCCTTTGGCAGTAACTTCCCTGCCCATGTCACTGACCTCATGTCATGGGCCCCCAGAGGCCTCTAGAAAGGCACGGGGTTTAGGAGTTGACAGTCAGGCTGGGGCGTGCGGGGTGAGAGGTGATGGGCCGGGGGCTGCTGATGGGCGTGGTTTGCTGGGAGCGCTGGGCTGAGCACCTCCTGTGTGGCTGGCCCTTGCTGGGCATCAGGGAGATGTGGCTGGGAGTCCGTTTGGGTCTACGTAAAGGACCCAATCATCGTGTCTCATCGTCTGGTAAAGGACCCAACAGCAAACAGTGAGCCCCCCGTGACAAGAGCGAAGGGGCAATAAAGCACAGAGCTGGGGGTCGAGGGGGCAGCCAGGCCCTGGTCTGGGCAGAAGGCCCGACAGAGCAGCTGCAGCCTCTGCATGAAGAGTGGCCTTGGCATGTCAGGGAGGGGCTAGTGAACACCAGTGCGAACACTGGGCTGGGCGAGAGCAGTCGTGGGCTGAGAACCTGAGGGCCCAGCGTCGAGGGAGGTGGCTTCCAGAGCCCTCACCATACAGGCTTTCTCAGGACCAGAGTTTGGAGGCCAGAGTTTGGTGCTGGGAAGGAAGCTTGGGGCCAGGTTAGCAAAGGCTTTGATGGCAAGCAGGGGAGTATATTTTCTTTACTTATTTTTTAGAAGTATCTTTTTAAGTTTTAATTTTTTTTTTTTTTTTTTTTACTTTTATGGCCACACCTCGCGGCATGTGGGATCTTGGTTCCCCCACCAGTGATCGGACCCACATCCCCTGCATTGGAAGCGTGGAGTCTTAACCACCGGGCCGCCAGGGAAGTCCCAAGCCAGGGAGTTCAGATTCTACGTCTTGACTGTGGTTTCCCAAACTCCCAAGAATCCCATGTCACCCAGACAAATTTGGCCAAGTTCAAAAAGCAAACTTTCTCTTATTATCATTTTACTACTACACATACTAGTTATTTTTTTCTACTAACATCCAAGTATACAACATAAAAACTGTCCACCCGTGTTCCCCTGACGGTCACCTCAGCGCCACCAGTGGCTTTCAGACGAAGCACGGCTGCAGGCGAGGGAGTCATGGCAGGTTCTTGAGGGAGGGTGGGGAGACGTCTTAGTGGTCGTATGTATGACTGTGGTGAAGCCACTTCATGCTCTGGGATTCGTGGCCTCATCTGTCAAGCGATGTGTTTAGACAACAGGATTTCTAATAATACAACTGGCTTGGATGGGAAAGTTCTCTGGAGGTGGTCCTGGTCACCCCAGTGAGCTAGGAGCCTCACCAACTTGGGGCCCGGAGCCAGCGCTGGTGCCCAGAGTCCACATGGAAGGCCTAGGCCTGGTGCCAGACTTCCACGCACCTTGAATGATGGCAGCCTCTGGTCTTGAACTCTAGGAAATGACCAGGCAATATTCCGTGTTGGGAGAGGAAAAAACTCCCCCTCCACAAGGATGATAGGGGGAGGGCTGGGGCTGGGCCTCTGGGCTGGACACACCCTCGGGTCACCCTGGGAGGTAGCCTGGTCAGCTGGTCCCATCGCTGCAATGACCAGAGCTGTGTGGGGCTCACAGCGGTGACGGGCGGCTCTCCCAGAGACTGGGGACCCTGTGAAGATCTTGCCCTTGGGCACAAAGCAAGGATGCGTGAGATCGTACACATTCAGATCGGCCAGTGTGGCAACCAGATCGGAGCCAAGGTAAGGAAAGTTCGATGACTAGTGCTGGCCTTTCCATGGTCCACAGTGCAGCCAACTCAGAAGATCCCCTAAGTTAGCAGGACGGACGGGGAGCCCAGCAGATGGAGACGCTTGGTGGGTATCTGACTTATTAAACGACACCTGTAGCTCAGGAGACCCAGGAAATAGTAAAGGCTTAAAGGGTTAATTTAATTCATGTTAATTCTGTTGACAGTTACATGTGTATAATACACCTGTCAACCATTTTTACTCTGATCACTTTAGCAATGAACTTTTCATATCTAAAACCAGGAATTTGTCTCAAAACAGTTTTCCAAAGTTTCTTGGGAAAATTTTTACACCGTATTACTAAGATATCTTTCCCTCCCTCCCATGTTTATGTTATAAAGTTAAAAAAGATCAACTACTATTTTATTTCAAATGCAACAGAAAATGAGAGGTAAACCTAAAAGTTTTTTGGGTCCAGCAGCAGAAATAATTAAAATATATCCTCTGGAATATAGAAGTTTTTCTCCTTCCCCCTTAAATTTTTCTAAAAAATACCTGGTACTGTTGGCCAATGCTAAAAAACAGATGCCACAGCCCAAGGTCTCCAACCCTAATTTTAAGATGATCAGTTCTACTGTATAACAACTGTCTCTTTGCTATTTCGAAATTACTTTTACTAGTACGAATTGCATTAAAAATTTAATTGCATTAAAACTTTAAAAAATTTAAATGTGATAAAATGGTATAAAATGTACCATCGTAACCATGTTTAAGTGTACAGCTCAGTAATGTTAAGTATATTCACACTGTCGGGCCTCCAATCTCCTAAATGCTTTTCTTCTTGCAAAACTGAAACTCGGTAGCATGAAACACTAACTCCCCATTTCCCCTCCCCCTGCCCCGGCAACCGCTATTCGCCTTTCTGTCTCTATGAATTTGACAGCTCTTGGTGTCTCATATAACAGTATTCGTCCTTTTGTGAGTGGCTTATTTCGCTCAGCATAGTGTCCTCAGTGTCTATCCCTGTTGTAGCCTGTGTCAGAATTTCCTTCCTTTTTAAGGCTGAATAATAGTCCATCCTATAGAGAGACTGCATTCTGTTTATCCAGTCATCTGTCAATGGACACTTGGATTGTTTCCAACTTTTGGCTATTGGAACTAGTGCAGCTATGAAAAAATGAAAGTCTTTTAATACAGGTGTTTAAAACCCGGGGCAAAGAAAAGGTCCGCTTGCAAAGGAGGTGTCACCCTTCCTTGCCGAGTGATAAGACGTTCAAAACTGAAACACACAGAGATGTGGGAGGCATGGGCCCCAACTGCGCTGAAGTTGGAAGACAGGATGGAGAAAGGACCCCAGGAGGGAGAGGAGGGTCTAGACAGGGTCTCAGCTCTGAATCCAGAACTGTGTTGTCTAGTGGTTAGAGGCCCAGCAACTACTTATTATTTGGGGCCATAAGAGCTTTAAGACATACATTTAATTTGTGCTGTGAGAGAACTTAAATTTCTTTCTTTTCCCACACCCTGAAGAGTGCTGATAATTTACTATAAAGTAATCTTGTTCATAAGACCAAGGCCACATCAGAGCCATCATTTACAAGATGTGGTTGGGAAAACACCCCAGGGGATTTTAACATAAATGAATGTATTTTCATTGCGCTTTACTATGTGCTCCTTCAGGTAACGAAAAGGGGTTATTATCTCAGTAACTGTTTCCATTCCATATAAAGAGCTTGGCACCTACCTATATTCATAGATACTGTAATGCGATTGGAAGTGTAGTATGTCTCAGGTAGTTACAAGAGAACAGCTACGCATAATTCTGAATTGAGCGAATACCTGATCATCCAACTGCACACAGTTTAAAAGCGCGCATAGGCGTCTTAGTGGGGGGCTTTTGGGAAAACTGCATGAAAATAAATCCGCAAAGTGAAAGGGGATATTATTGTGAAATCAGATAAGAATTCAGTTTATTTTCACGTAATGGGATCTATACTTTACTAGCTGGAAGCACTGTAAGGCCAAACTAGAGATACACTTCTGATGAGAAACTCTAAAAGAACAGCATTAATGTACACAAGGGCCTGAATTTAACAGGAGCAAAATCCAATTTAATATTTTATGTGTTGACATTTTATTGAAGCAGTTCAGGCTGACATAAAAAATCTTCACTTCATGGTGAGCAGAGGTGAAGAGTACGTTACGCCATGGGGTGGGCAGTTAGGAAAAGGGCCCCCAAGACCATGCTGGGGACGGAAGCGGGCCCAGGAGCCCTCACTTCCTGTCTTTCTGCTCAATGTGCTGTCGCCGACCTGGTGCTTGTCGGGGTCCCTCTGGACACTGACCTCCCCTCCTTCTGCTTTCAGTTCTGGGAGGTGATTGGCGAGGAGCATGGGATCGACTGGGCCGGAAGCTACCGCGGGGACAGCGCCCTGCAGCTGGAGAGGGTCAGCGTGTACTACAACGAGGCCCATGGTAGGACCTCGCTGTCGGCCCCCGTCACCAGCCCCAGGGACGCGGCAGAGAGAGGAGGTCCCGTGAGACGGGAACGCCAGATGGGGGATGTCCCGAGTGACCGAGGGCAGGACTGGCCACTAGAGGGTCACTGGTCTCTGGTCACTGGAGGGGGGCACACTCAACACAAGCAGTTTAGGCCCCGACCTTCCTTTCTGGGTTTTATTTTATTTAATGAATTGATTTATTTTTTAATTTTTTAAAACTTTTATTTCAGCTGTGCTGCACAGCTTGTGGGATCTTAGTTCCCCAACCGGGGACTGAACGCGTGCCCTCGGCAGTGGGAGCGCGGCAGTCCTAACCACTGGATCACTGGGGAATTCTCCCTTTCTGGATTTTAAATAAAAAGTAGAATCATTTCCAATAGGAACAAAATCCCTGTCGCTGGCAAGACAACAAACAAAATGGACAACGATGGAGAAAGTTATTTCTGCAGCGTTCTACAGATCTGTGTGATCGCTGCTGCAGTCCCAGATACGATTTCCAGTCTTTCTATCACAGACACCTTCAGGGAGGGCTCTTTTCTTCTGGACCCATGTCACAGGGTTCTACTCTGATGAAACATTAACCTTTAGAAAAACAGCAGTTGGCTGACTTCTTCCTATTTTTCCACGCAGGTAAGAAATACGTGCCCCGAGCAGTCCTGGTGGACCTGGAACCTGGGACCATGGACAGCATCCGATCCAGCCGACTGGGGGCCCTCTTCCAACCAGACAGCTTTGTCCACGGTAGGTTTTCCTGGAAGGTTCAGCGGGAAGAGAGGAGCGCTTCCTGGTGTGTTGCTGCCGACACCCTTCCCCCGACCCCAGCGGGCTAACCGAGTCCCTTGTGCCGCAGGTAACTCTGGGGCCGGCAACAACTGGGCCAAGGGCCACTACACGGAGGGGGCCGAGCTGGTGGAGAGCGTGCTGGACGCGGTGCGCGCCGAGGCCGAGGGCTGCGACTGCCTGCAGGGCTTCCAGCTCGTGCACTCGCTAGGCGGGGGCACGGGCTCGGGGATGGGCACGCTGCTCCTGGGCAAGATCCGCGAGGAGTACCCCGACCGTATCCTCAACTCCTTCAGCGTGATGCCCTCGCCCAAGGTGTCGGACACGGTGGTGGAGCCCTACAACGCCGTGCTGTCCGTGCACCAGCTCCTGCAGAACTCGGACGCCTGCTTCTGCATCGACAACGAGGCCCTCTATGACATCTGCTTCCGCACCCTCCGGCTGGCCACGCCCACCTATGGCGACCTCAACCACCTGGTGTCCCTGACCATGAGCGGCGTCACCACGTCGCTGCGCTTCCCAGGCCAGCTCAACGCCGACCTGCGCAAGCTGGCCGTGAACATGGTGCCCTTCCCGCGCCTGCACTTCTTCATGCCCGGCTTCGCGCCGCTCACGGCCCAGGGCAGCCAGCAGTACCGCGCGCTCTCAGTGGCCGAGCTCACCCAGCAGATGTTCGACGCCCGCAACACCATGGCCGCCTGCGACCCCCGCCGCGGCCGCTACCTGACCGTGGCCTGCATCTTCCGGGGGAGGATGTCCACCAAGGAGGTGGACGCGCAGCTGCTCGCCGTGCAGACCAGGAGCAGCGGCTGCTTCGTGGAGTGGATCCCCAACAACGTCAAGGTGGCCGTGTGCGACATCCCGCCCCGGGGGCTGAGCATGGCGGCCACCTTCATCGGCAACAGCACGGCCATCCAAGAGCTCTTCAGCAGGATTTCTGAGCACTTCTCGGCCATGTTCAAGAGGAAGGCCTTCGTGCACTGGTACACGGGCGAGGGGATGGACATCAATGAGTTTGCCGAAGCCGAGAGTAATATCCAGGATTTGGTGTCCGAGTACCAACAGCTTCAAGATGCCGAAGCAGTTCCGGAGGAGAAGGAGGAGGTCGGGGGCGAGGCAGAAAGGGAACCAGGAGATAAGGGACATTAACCATGAGAGAAGCTGCGCGAGGCTGGCTGCGGCGTGGAGTCACGTCCAGTGTTCTCACCTAGGATGAGTGAGTCCCCACGGCCGTCCCCGGCCAGTTCTGCACCGTAGCACCGCGACCCACACGCAGCCACCCAGTATTAGCTTCAACACAGGACTGCGCGGGTGGGGAAGTACTGATGGGCAGTAGGGTCTTCTGCTGGCACCGACTAGCCTTGAAGAGCTTCATATCCCCTGCCCACTCTAGTCGCTTCTTTTTAATAGCCAGGTGAACTTATGGTAAAGCGCTCCCTCTGTTTAAAGATCTGGATTGGCTATTTGCTGTATGCCTAGCACTGCGCCAGGCATCAGGGCTCCACACGTGAACGCGCGGGGAGCCACGGCAGTTGAGGTTAAATTGTAGATGCTTTAGCTACGCTGGTAAGCGTCCCGGAATCTGTACTCGGCATCCCGGGCTGCTAAGGCTCTTCCTGCAGGTTCTCTCTTAACTCGCTGCCCGCAGCCCACCTGTTCACACCTGCCGTCCTCCAGAAATGCCAGGTGACTGCTTGGTGTGCAGGAGGTTCGCAGAGGTAAATGGGCTTCAGCGTCCACTAGTAAATTGTGGAGACTGTGTGTACGTTTCAACGTACCAACTGCAAAGGGCAAAAGGGAGGAAAGGAGAGTGGCATTCCTTCCCACAAATACCCGGGCAAAAAAAAAATAAAAAACAAAAAAACAAAAAACGACAAGCAAAACTCGAGAACTACAATCCTCTGACCTTTATGTCTGAAGAGCTAGCTTTTAACATAGGTGTATTTACATACTTTTAAGTTTCTTATTAATGTTTGATTCTGAGAATTCATTAATCATCATCTTTGGTTTTCCTTGTAAAGGCTATCTCGAAATGCCCTTTTCACTTTCACGCGGCGATCACCTCCTGAAAGCTCCCTGTAGCCGCTCTGTTCTTTAAAAGGGCACAGGCGCGCTCAGCAACCATTCAAACGGAGGAATTGAGCAGCGGTGGCTGCAGTGTCCTTCGCAGTTACGGAGGACATCGTCTCATTAGGGAACTTTTACAGTTCAAATTAATTTGCAGAAGTTGCCATAATGTTTGCATGATCATGCAGCTTTAACCATTACATGATTTTAATCTGCTCACATTACAACAGGACCAGATACACAAAAGCGTAATCAGATCATCCATAACTTAATTACAGTTTACCTATTCCTGACATACAGCACTGCCATCCCTTCCAGCGCCGCAAGGGTTTTAATGGCCTTCTAGAATTACCACGGAGCTGTCCTATTTGATCCATGGGTAGCTGGCGACAGGAGGAAATATTTACTTGCAGGCAACTGGATTTGCTCTGTAATCTGCAGTAATGAGGTAGCCGGTGAATGGGTGACAGCAGCTCATTTTGAGAAACTTCACTCTTTTCATGTAGTCTTATGAGGAAATAACTAAAACATGTACCAAGAGAAAATTGTCTCGCTGTTGGTATCATGACAAGTCTTCTATTTCCAGAATTACAAAAAAAAAAAAAAAAAAATTTAAATACTTTCTACTTGTGGTTCAAAAAGCACTAAAAACAAAAGTAGATTTAAAAGTAGATTTAAGGAACTGCACCTAAACGACTCCTAGTTTGAAGTTCATAACTTCCTTAGATGCTAAAAAGACTTATAACCTGCGATTACATAAGAATTTACACACGATTCCTCTAGCACTTTTTTTCACTTTCTCAAACCTGAAAAGGCAATTAAATAGATGCAAGAAAGGATAAAGATCTAAATTAAAAAAAACCCTGCTGATTTATATTACTGTAAAGATTTTTGTTTGCTCAACAGTAATCATTAAAATAAAAGAAATACAATTTTAAATGGCTAAATTGCTTTATTTCAGACTAAATAAATTCCTTTTCTTGGAATTCTAACCGTCCAGACTGATTAATGTGAGTAGTTAAAAATATTTTCAGAATGCATCTCACCATCCTACTCTTTCGTATGGTAGAAATAGATTAAAAAAAAAACAACCAAAAACCCCACTAGAAACCGAAAGAAATCTGTCCCCTGTGATTTTGAAGAGCCTATTCCTTTAGCCGTATGGTTGCTACAGCGACATTGGTCTCTCGGAGACCAAGACGGTGGAATCAGAATTTCAGAGCTTGTCTGATTCCTTCACTTCACACACGAGAACACTGCGTGAGTGAAGAGACTGAATCCCTCACAAACCACTCAGGTGGTTAGTGAAATACCCACAACAAGATCTGATCAGGGCCCCCTGGTAGTCTGGACACAGTGGTCCTGCCACCTCCCAGCAGGGCATCACAGTATCGGTTCAGGATTTTTTAATCACAGAGAAAGAGCCTCAAAGAATCTTTACTGAGCAGTGAATCTGTCCTTTACTCAGTTGACTTTTAATCCTTTCCATACCACAAGCCCTGTCCCTAAGTCTCTTTTCTAATTATCCCATTTGCCTCCCGAATGAATGACTTATCTCTAACTGAATTGGTTGGGAAGAATTTAGCCCTTTGCCTATCAGTTACTTTTATTTGCCTGGTACCAAGAAGGCCCCACGGCCTTGTGATCCATTTATTCCTGTCCCTGTAATGAAAGATGCCTCCTGGTACCTTAACTGTGGGGACCAGAAGCATGACAACTGAGGGGCCTTGACTTCAAAAGAGCAGGACAACAGCCTGAGGCACAGGGCACAAGGGGCTCGTAGGCTGCTTCTGTCCAGCCCTGCAGCTCCTCGCGTGCCCCATGCCAAGAATGAGATAAAGCCTGTAGGTCAAGTGTCCAGGGCAGGAAGTCCTCTCCAGAAGCCAACAGCAAAGGCGTTTTCTTGCCCTCATCCTTGGCATGGTGGAGTGGCCGTGATAAATTATTGTTAGCTTAAGTACCAAGCTGAGAACCTGTCCTGGGGCAGAAGCTAAACCGGTGTTTCAACATTTCCTGTCCAAGTGTCTCTCTCCATGTCCAGAAGTGGGTAAAAATCAAGCAGTTAACTTTGCAACTTTGTGAGCTTTGGGGTTTTACTTGGCCGAGTGCCTTCAAGTTTCAAAGAAAGAGAAAAACACCCTGCTGGCAACAATTCTTCAACCCTAAATATTTAATAGGTAAACGAATCGCCGTGAAAACACCATGGACCTGCTGTCATGACCATGCCCTAGACCTGCAGTCCAGAAGCTTAGATTTTCACGTCAGCTCGGCCATCAGCTCGGTAAGCATGTTGCTGAGCGGCTTTGCCTCGTCTCCTATGAGAAGTGCTCCCAGAATATAAAGATTCACTTATAAGACAATGTGAAAAGTATCTCGTGCTTAGCGAATTTCGACAATAGTACTTCTCTATAGCTTTGAAGTGCACAATAGAAAATGAATACTACAATTTAGCATTTCTTCTCATCTACGCTTTCCATAATTATTCGCACTCAGCCTGCTGAATCGCACCACCTGGATACGGCTGCCGGCGCAGAAGGACGAGGCCAGCAGACAACCCGGCCCACCCCTGACCCCAACCCACTGCTCTGACATGACGTCTGCAATTCAAAGATAAGGGGCAAGACAGCCTCAATGACGGAGCCCAATTCTGTCAATTACGTCACGAAAAAGAGAACCTTTTCTTTTGAGACATTTTCAAAATGTCTCCTGGATCCCTCTGGTCACTAGATATGATATCTGTTCTCCCTTTAACTTTTTTTTTCTTTTTTTCAGCTGTACGTCTTACAGGACCTTAGTTCGCCGACCAGGGATTGAACCCGTGCCCCGTGCAGTGGAAGCTCGGAGTCCTAACCACTGGACCACCAGGGAATTCACTGTTCTCCTTTAAAAAGCCCTGGTTCATATGATCATAATCCTGCAGTGGTGTGGTAGTTCCCAAACAGAAAAAGTCCGAGAGAAACCAAAAACCAACAGCAAGAGTGAACTGTACTTTAATTTATTGGCATTGTCAATCTATGAACAAGACAGGTTTTTCTTTCCCCCCACGAAGGGGGATCGTTTTCAATCTGCCATAACACGTGCCCACACATCTTCACCATGAACATGCAGCATTTCAAGCTGTAGTCAGGGTCTAGGAGGAAAAGAGAAACAGCAAGTTGCCAGTCCTTCATGTTTTCTTAAAAATCCAACACGAATAGGGAAAGTAACTTCCTTATAATGAGCAGTATAATATGACTGCAGATCTCCTTCACTCGGTTGGTGATAAACTCTGGCTCTCAGCTGTAAAAAGCGCAGGTTCATGTGCACTGCCTTAGCCGAAGAGGCACTTCCCTGCTAAGGAAAACCAAACACTCTCCCTGCAATAAAGAAACACTCTGCCTTTAAAAGACGCTAAATCCCCTATGCTGAGGCGGTGGGGCTGCGTCCCCAGCACGATGGATAGAGAATGGTCACTGTTCTGCTTACCGGAGCTGGACACTACTAATTCCTGGCCCAAAGGACATTACAAGGTGGAGGGAGTTCGATGCGGAGTCTGGCTCGGCCATGCTGCAGGCACAGGCTGGGTGATTTTTCTCAGTTAGCTCGTTGTTAAAACAAAACAACCCAACCTAAAACCAGGTCTCATTCCTCAGAATTATGAGATCAGACAGAGAGCCCCAGAAAAAGGGCTCAACACCGCATCTCCAGACTTGTAATAAAATATTTACTAATTCAAAATGAAAATGAAAAGTGCTTAGGGGAGACAGTTCCAATAAGTACAATCGCTCATAACCACAAGCTGCCAGAGGATTACTATTTATCACATTTCCCTGCAACTGCGGGTCTGAAGCTTTTTTAAAGCTAAACAAGAAAATTAAATCTGAAAAACAGCTTTCCGGTAATTTGCCTCGCTTGATCTTCGAAATAATAATGTCAAGAAAGCAGTTTAGAGATCAAATCACTTTAATAGTTTGGAACACAAAAGTCTGAACTTATCAACTGTACGAAACTGCCTTACTTTGCATTGCCAACATCAGAAGTAAAATGAACCAAACTCTGAAAACATAAATTTAGCAAAACAATATTCACTGCAGGGTCTTGCCGATTTTATTGCTTGATAAAATAGCAGGACCCTTGCCTGTACCTGTAGCCCTACATTCGGGAAGTAGTGATTTGTGAGAACATGAGCAGATGTGGGGGAAATAAAAACTCAAAGAACTGTAATTTTTCATGCTCCTGAACTGTTACATAACTCCAGTAACAATTATAAAAGTGGGGAGTTTATCCTCCGAATTATTTGATTTTGTGCAGACACATGAAACAGGTTTAATTAAAATAAGATGGCTTTCTACCTAGCATTGCTCAATGAACTGAAAATCAACGTGGCAGGTTACTTCTGCTTGTCAGGGCCTCGAAATGACATTCTTTGATGATGCCATGGGGCTTCCACAACCTGTATGCGTGACATTACCATCCCACTAACTTACTTCTAGATGTGCTGATGGACCAAATGTGGACAGAAGGCAGAACTAAAATTATTTTGATTTTTAAAAGCTCTCTAAATACTTAAGATGCAACTCTTTCTCTAAATCCACCAACAACTTACAGATTATTCCTTTTTCACTTTCACAATTTTTATGCTGCTGCCAGAAGTCTTCTCGGTGTTTGCTTTGAATCCCGTCTTCAGTGCATCCCTCACTGCTTTTGCACAGATCTGGGAGTATCGGATGTAGCTGGAGGAACACGAGAGACAATATAAAGCTAATTATCAATGATCCAGCCAGACTTGCTGTGTGACTGTGCTTTTGTTTTTCTTCCTATACTTTTCATTTTGGTTGGATTGTACATCATTGTAGAACTGAACTTAAAAATGACTAATGCAGGGCTTCCCTGGTGGTGCAGTGGTTAAGAATCCGCCTGCCAATGCAGGGGACTTGGGTTCGAACCCTGGTCCGGGAAGATCCCACATGCCGCGGAGCAATTAAGCCCATGTGCTCCAACTACTGAGCCTGCGCTCTAGAGCCCACGAGCCACAACTACTGAGCCCGTGCGCCCTAGAGCCAGTGCCCCACAACGAGAAGCCACCACAATGAAAAGCCTGTGCGCAGAAACAAAGACCCAACATAGCCAAAAAAAAAAAAAAAAAGTTAATTAATTTAAAAAAAAAATGACTAATGCAAAAGGAATCTATACAAAGAAAAAGAAGAGCAGAAAGAAATGTATCAAAGTCTTAATTGGGGTTAGGTGATTTTTGGTTTTTCTTCTTTGCAGTGTTTTCTCTTTAATACATATTAATTTGAAATAAAAGATGCATATATTAGAGAAAAAAACCCCACAGCACAGTAAACAGTCCTAAATGTTAACAGAGGGTATGAGTGGTTTTTTTCCATTTCTCTATTTAAAATTTTTTCTTTTATTATTCTTACAAGGTAAAGTATACATAATTAAAAGAAGGAAAAAAAACTATTTTGAATTAAAACAGCTCTACTTCTGATTATTTAAAGGTCTTCCTGCGAATATTGGATTCTGCTTGTCAGGCCTGCCATTGAAAATACTTCCCAAGCATGGTTTCTAAATTAAACTGAGAAGTCCTTAGAGAACATCATCAATTCCAGCAAAATATCTAACAGCCAGCTTCCTGTTTGGTAGATGGACTCTCATCAACATCTTATTTTCCAAAAGATGTCAGCTCACTTTTTACACTGTTTGAAAACAGGAAGGACAGAGGGGAGGGAGCTGCTGACTATTTTCTCATGTTTCAGGTTTGTTTTTTTGGGCCAGAGATAGGAGTTCCAATTCTTGCTTCCACTCCTACTAACTGGTGAATTTTACGCTGTTCCATCTTTTGGGCTAATTTATTCTGTAAAAACAATG